ATTTTTTAAACTTCCCCATGATATATAAGAAATCAGACTATTCATTTACACAACGGCAAGAAAAATTATATCTTGGAGACATTTTGTGGATCTGAGGCCCATAGCTATAAGAAAAAACGTAAATATCAGTGGAAAATTCTAAAACCAATACACAGAGAAGATGTTGATTCAAACCCCATTCCTCTTATTTTTTAAAGGACTTGTCCTCTTTTACAACATTCTTCACATTTCTGTTATACAATTACATTTTCAAGAAGTTTTGCTTTAACAAAAGTGGGAAACATTTGACTGAGAGCTCGGAAAAATAAAATAAATCATGGAGAGGACTGTCAATAAGGTGCTCAGAAGAAACAGCTTCATTTTTGAAGATTGCATAGTTCGTTATTTATATACTCAAAAGCTGCAATCAGTTTTCACCTGGAGATGGGGGGAGAAGGTAAGCGTACGTAGTATTAGTCTTTATTGTCTCTAAAAGCTTTATCCTCTGTAAGTTTCAAAAGCAACTAGAAAACCGAGTTCAGTGATTTACCCAAGTCTTGAAATGCCACACCAGAGAAAATTAAGTAATTGCACATCACTTTCCTCAGCACCTGATCTGATCACATTTCTTCAAGTGCTAGTCAGACCAAGCAGCTCCATCCTGTTGGCTGAGTGTTACCATATTCTTGGCATTTGGACAGCTGGGAGGAACAGAAGTCCTACCTAATAGAAATGTTGATTCCAAAGCTGACTCCATCACAGTGTGCCAATTTAACAGACAAGAACAAGGATGTAGAAGACTAACTAATGAAAACAAACCAGGAAATATTGATTTCAACGCAGAAGCATGGTGTTTAATTTACAAGACAGCTCTTCAGAAAATCCTTTCGTCTGTTGTCAACAAGCATTGGAACTTGTCTATCTTTCCAATCATTTAATTAGAACAGAGACAAAGGACTGAAACTCTTGGCTTTCAAGCAAACAGTAGGGCACAGGGTGGAAGCAGGCTTGGGATTGTTGATTCTTTCAGATTGCCCGTTTTAATTTCTACTGCCTGAAAAAAAAAGAGACATCCTTTCTCCTCATCCATTTAGCTATTTTCCCCTTTTCTCTCAAAGGCAAAACAGAGAGTTCTAAGTCCAACTAATAGCTTTTAATTTATCGTGAAGGTATTCTATAGGGCTAAAGTCTCTCACTTTATAAAGTCAAATGAGTTATACTTGCACGTTGTTTTCTAACGTATTCCACTACTTGGAATACAAATGAAAGTACAAATTGCAGTTGATTGATTCTGCCTGAAAGCACTCAGTTTGAGTCTTATAAGTGTAAAGGTTTATATTTTTTATTTGTTTACCTGGTTTCAAAAGATAATTGCATTCAGTAATAACTTTAACCAATATTAGGGAATACAAAATGAAAATAAAGTTTTCAAGTATTCGTATGCGAGAGAAAGTGTAAAACTCATATATATTCAGTGACATAGAGAGGGCATGTTAAGCTCAAATAAGTATTTCAAATTAAGATTTAAGCAAAATAATACTGAGCAAGTCAAGTAATAACAAGAGTAAAAAATTACAAATTTTAACCATATGATTGCCCATCGTGGTGATGGGTTAATGAGGGATGGTGGTGTTCAGGTAACCATTTGCTGTTTTACTTCTATCTTCCTGCACCCTAGGAGTATTTAAATGTATCGGGTAAATTCCTGCTACTTTCTAAGTAGGGAAAATGCAAATACTCTGAGCTACACTAGATCTATGATATGAATAATTTTAGTCATAAATGATTTTGCCTCAGGGGTATAGACACACTCATTGTCCAAATAAATTCATCCACTTCTGTCACCCCGAAAGAGAAGTTGATATACAAAATGCCGTTGTAGGTAAAGTATAAATATGGAAAGGATCCATTCTAATTCCTATGGGTATTGCTTAAACACAAAATATTTGTGTCACAAATTTAAAATTCTAGAACAAACCTCACACAGATCTCTTGTCACATGTAACTTTGAAGTCTTGTCAGCACAGCTCCCTAATTTCTATGAAGCACCCTAGAGTCACTGTCTCTTTGTAGCGTTATTTGTCAAATGATTCAGGCACTGCTTTAAAGTATATGTGCGGCTCCTAATCAGTCCCAGGACCCTTAAATTGGATGTTATGCTATGCAAAATTTTCTCCTCCAAGCATGAGAAATTCTAAATTATATTTGCCTTTGATATCTTTATTTTTCTTTATTTTAGAAGTATCACAGGAAGGAATAAAGCTACTATAAAGTTAAATGCAATATTCTGGCGAAGGAGCAAGGACCTAGCAGGAATTTGAGTGTGTGTGTATGGGTGTATGTTTGTGTCTGTGGGTGTCTGTGGGTGTATAGGCTCTTCTGTGAAAAACAGTAATGTGACTGGACACTGGGGGGAATTCTAATCAAATTAAAATACTCCCTAACTTAGCATTTATTTATTAACAATGTGGAGCCTGTTGTGTATCCACGTCAGGTAAAATTCACTGTTGTTTGCTACATACACGCTCATAGTTCTTTGGTTTTTCTTTCATCCTATGTATTATGCTTCAACTCTTGACAAAAATCTGCCTGGATTCTGCAATTATGACCTCAAAATTATATTATTTTATTATTTCAGATCTTTTAGAAAATATGATATACACCTTTATTGTAAAATGGATTAATTGTTTGAAATCATTGGAAAATATAGATCAATCAAGAGTATTGTGAAGAATAAACACAAAGCTATGTGTATATGTTTGAGACAGAGAAAGAAATGGAAAAAGAGAGCTGGAGTGAGACATACATATTTATCCATCTGTACATACACACCATGCATATACCACACATGCACATTCACACAAACACAGAGGGAGAGAGTGAGAGAAAGAGTGAATAAGTTAGCATAGATGACTGCTCAAAGGCAGTTAACTGAAAAGCAGAAAATCTTAGATTTTTCAGGGAGTACTTTCTCCCCCGACTTAATAGTCCAATTAATAGTGCAAGGATGGCAGCCAGGCTACCAAGAAAAAGAAGAAAATAAAGATGATTATCCACTGACCTCAATGAAACATTAAAAAAAAAACAAACAGTTAATGGGTCTAATTTTGTTAAGACAGCACTTCACTACAACTGTTATGAGACAAGTCAAGGTAATAAAAAGATTAGAGAAAGTTAAAATTCCATGAGATCATAAACGCTGTCAAAAGCTCTAGAACTTCCCTTACTTATGAGTGCAAAAAGTACATGATGGGAGTATCTGAATATGGATGAAATAAATTTTGGATAAGCATGTAATATCCTAAAATCTATCTTAGGTTTTATGTTGATATCAAAGCTGAAAATCGGTAGGCACTGCCAAGGTTGAAAGATTGTTAAATATTGAAATCACATCTGCTCAATTCCCTTGAGTGCATTTCTACCAGGATTCCTCACTTGCCCACCAACCACCAACTCAAATGTTAGCGCCAAGGGCCCTCAAGTCAGTGTCCTTTCCGATTTGTCTGTGCTCCTTGCCAACCAAAACCCTCATGCTTTTTTTCCCCTGCCCCTCAACACAGGAAGGTCAATTTTTGCCCCACCTGTATGCCTTCTTTCCTGACTTTTCCAAAGAGTCTTAAGAAAGAAAAAGAGATGAATCAAATGGGCAGTCGTGAGGACCACCCCACACACCAACACAATGGTGCAGGCTCCAGCTTCTCAGCGGGATACTCTCAGGAGGGAAAGGAGGCTACAGAGGACAGCAGGGATGGTGATAGTGGGTTGTGACTCAGCCCAGGGATGTCTAGTGAGGGTCCCTATTCAAGAATCTTTGTTGAATTTCATTGCCATTTAATAGTACACCTTTCTTGAAATCTACATAGGTTCTCATGTCTGGGACATTAGCAATATTAATATTATCTTTATTAATAAAAATAGTTAACCTTTACAATGCCTTCATTATGTGCCAAGGACATTCTAAACACATGCACACATAGGCACACACACACACGCTAGTGTAATTTGAGCACTAAAGTTATCATCATCATTCCAATCATTTAAATGAAGGAAAGTTGGAGGCACAGAGAGTTTGTTTAAAATATTGACGGGCAGAGGCAGGATTCAACCCAAACGGCCTGAAAGCAGAGCCTGTGTTCTTCAATTCCTGTGCTAATTGCTCTCACATCGCCCACAGGACTCAGTTTGACCTCAACAGATATGCTAGATATCTCCCGAGCTGTTCCCAAACTTAAGTGTTTGGGAAACACTAAGTCAAAAATATTTCATTTTTTTTTTTAATGTAGGCTTCCTTGGGGACTTATTTTAAAATATTTTATCAAAATAATATATATCATGATTGCAAATCAAGTAATTCAAAAGAGATTGTGCTTAAAATAGTCTTTATCCAATTCTTTCCCATTCCCAGTCCTGCTTTTAACTATTTTGTTTTTGTTTTTGCTTTTAAATTTCAGCTGGTGGTTGACTTTAATGGCCCCAATACTAAAATAATGACTTTAATAACTTTTCAATAATATGTGATTAGCAATATTTCTTGATTTATATTCTTTTGAGGTTAATTATGAGAACTAAAGAACAAGAATAGTAGTTTACTTATGTTATAACCTTCTCCCCTATTTTGTTCTAAAGTTGATATTTCCGCTTCAGTTCTTCTTTTGCATATCTTTTACTTTTAAATAACCTCTCTAAATGTTATTTCTCTCTCACCTCTAGTTAGCCTTACTTAGTGCCTGCACTAAGTAAGGATGGTCTTCCACCATCCACAACCATTTTCCTCCGTCTATCCCGGCTTGAGACACATAGCTTTACTTTTATATCACTAAGGCTAATATTACATTCTCTTCTGCAACCACAACCAGGGCCTTCTTATTTGAAGACTATTCCATAATCAAATGATGTGATAGCGTGATATGATGCGAGACTCAATTTTAGAAATGGAATCATACGTCTTTGAAGTAGCTTCTTGTTCAGTTGCATGTTCTTTCAAGGAGTAAACAATGTTCCAAGACCTCAAACTACAGTACCTGTAACTTTCAGCTTTTCAGCCCCAATGGTAATCTCATCTTCATCTGCAGAAAACAGCACCCTGCCATCTTCACTCGCTCTCACTTCAAATCTTTTACACTGAGCTTCCACAGCATCAGCTCCTATGATCAGAGGAAAGGTTTAAAAATGAAACTGGTATGCAGGAAACCATTAACATGTATTTTTTAGAAAAAGAAGAGAAATACATATATTGTTTAGTTAATCTCTGCAGTATGTTTTACACCTGGATTAAAATTTTTAATTGTTATCCTTTTCAGGAAGCTCTTTAATTTGGTAGAGTATTGCTGGGTTAGGCTGGTTGGGCATACACCTGATCTTTAAATGCCTGGCGTAGTCCTAACAAGGTTTGTGGGTTTAGCCAGTTAAAAACTCTGCATATACACAAGGAGAGACAATGTCTGCTTTGTTCTTGGTTGCAGCCTGGAGACTTGGCATTATACCTGGTACACGCTGGATGCTCAATAAACACTTGGGGTCGGAAGGGCTCTCATGTTTTTCTCTCTGCAAGTAAACAATAGAGCCCACACTTGCCTCGTCACAAGGTACTTATAAAGCATTATTCAGTTACAAACCTTTAGTTACTCCATGTTTCATAGATTTTAATATTGAAATTTGTTCCCCCTTTACTATCACTGAATGTGAATCCATTTTACAGTCAACCATGCAAATATATATATTTGGTTTTTAGTGCTCCCTAATGTATCTTCTAATCAATAATTTTCTTGATTTACTAAAATATAGTGTTAAACAAATATAATTACATCATGGACTTGGAAATCTATTTTCAATCTATTGGACAATTTTGTACATTAATCTATTCACAAACTACAAAGCCAGTTCCCATATTTGGAAAACATAATTAATTTGAGAGTTAGGAGGACTTCAGCAACAAGATTAAACTGGTCAGGGGGCAAAGAATCGTTATTTCCAGAACATCAATTTATTTCTTTTGGCATACAGATCTATGTCTTCCCCTCCTGTTAAGATTTGGAACATCTCTCCTGTCCTATGGACATCAGAAACTCTTGTCAGGTACAATCCAGCCCAGGCAGGGACCTAGGCACATGACACTTGGTGCATACTTCTTTTCATTTATCTTTATATTTGCTACATACTGAATGTGTCTGTCCAAAATACATATGTTGAAATCCTAACCCACAATGCGATGATACTGTGAGGTGGGCCTCTGGGAGGTAATTAAGTCATGAGGCTGGAGCCCTCATGAATGGGATTAGTGCTCTTACAAAAAGACACAAGTAAGCTTGCTTTCTCCCTCTGCAATCCACCAAGTGAGGACACGATGCAAAGCTGGCTGTCTGCAAACCAGAAACCAGCCTCTCACCAGAGAGTAGCTCTGTTGGCACGTTGATCTTGGACTTGCCAGCCTCCAGAACTGTAAGAAATAAATTTCTGTTTTTTAAGCCATCCAGTCTATGGTATTTTGTTATAGCAGCCCAAATGGACTAAGAAAACTTACTGCCATTATTTGTTAAATATATGACCCTCCAGAATTCAAAACATGAGATCATCTTTGTATTCTAAAATATCTTCTGAATTTAAAATTGTGTCACGTTTCTAGTGGGCACTTAGTAGAAGAATGTTAGGTGGGTGAATGAATCCTAGACTTAAGCTTTCTTTCTTTTTCCTTTGTCCTCAACCCCACCTCAGCCCTACTCCCAATTCTGGCCCATTTATTAACTTACGCCTTCCCACCATCATAGCTTCTGAGGAGCAATTAACAAGAGGAAAAAAATAATTCCAAACCCTGATAACGTGTGGGACAATTTCTCTGAAAACAAGATGTATATTTTTCTTATATTCTGAAATTGCATGCATGTTTTCAGGTCCACACAGAAAATTAAATAGCTTGAACTAGGACAATGCTAAATAAGATAAAACTGGTGGTAACCTTGTGGGTGTCAAGTTCAAAACAGTGTGAATTATATTCTAAAATCTGTTATCCTTTTTTCTTTTTTTTAAGCAAAGAACTTTCCTTATGGAATTTAATGACAGAATTGGAGAAACTGTGGAAGACCTATTGATCTCGGTCACAGTCATTGAATTTGCTCTTGCAAATATATTTCAGCAGCCTGTATTCAGTTGAGTGTGTTTTCTTCTAATCCTGGTCTGTCCTTCCTATATTATGCTTTTAATCTTTGAACCAAAGTAACCCAAATGGATGATGTTCAAAAAGCCGATGTGTGGATAAATGTAACTTCTGAGTTTTGAAACCTCTGTGTTTCAATCTATCTTCAAGGCAGTCAAGTATACATTAAATCTGAACTGCCTGAAAGATGTTATAGATATTATACTCATAAAATCTTAACATGAACACTACGTTTCTTCCTTCAAATATACTTACTTATTGGGTAAATTGATTCACAAAATGTATCACTGACTTTAATGACATCGAAGTGCATTAGATTACTATATATATGTATATATACATATATATATTATATACAAATACATACATACACCCTATATATACACACTCACTAGCAAGACTTTTCTTGGCATAATACTTAAGGTCATTATATGGGAGATATTTTATTAACATAAAAATGCTATATTGTGTGTCACACAAACTACGAGAAATGTAAGTAGAGTGCCTGGGTATGTCAACATGAGTTGAAATCTTAATTCATTAAATTTAAATAAGCAACAGCAAGTAAGAAAATATTTATGCACCCAGAATAGAAGAGATGCATCTAGGCCATAAATAAATGCATGCAGAATTATCCAATTGAAAAATAGATATATAAATTAATACTGCAGACTACACTTTATTCAACATATTAGTATAATTACAGGAGGCAAAATTGCAAGCAATTAGCAATACATTGAGAGTAAATAAACATTTTATATCAGAAAATAATTTTGAATGTATTGGGCTTCTGTATATTACTTTTCTGCAAATGGAAAAGAGTAAATATATGCAATTGGACATATATTGCATGGTTGTGAATATTTATATTTAAAGTTAATATATTAGGCTACATGAAAATGAATTTATTACATCCTAGCATGCTTTGTGTTGTCTTATTCTGTTTTTCATGTTCCTGGTATCACATGTTCTCTAGGCTGGGTCTACTCGGGCTCCAGTTCTTTAGAGGGGCAGTAATGTTCAGTTCAATTTTATCGCAACCAGAGATGTTTCCAGAGTTGCAGAAAAGCAATATACCCAAATGACTCTGGGTAAGGAACTCTGATTCCAGAGCAAATAGATCATGGGAGATGGGGTTATCCAAACAGTTCTATATTTTATTAGTCATATTAAACACCAACTTGCTAACTAAAGTAGCAAGACAAAATGCTTCCTTAGGAATACCTCTGAGGAAGTTTATGTCAGCAACTTCAAAATAAAACAAAGAGTAGTCAGGGATAAAACAAGTGAAGAGAATTGGCAGGAAGAAGAGAGAAAATTTGTAAGCAAAATAATAGGTTCCATAAAAGGACTGAAGTGTTTAATACATATCCAAATATTTTCCTTAGTTCTTTTAGTGTTCTGTACACATTCTTTAAAAGCAAATAAACAAAAACAACAGCAAAGCTAATATCTTGTTCCTCTCAGAGTTGGCTCTATTGCCTTTTTGGAACATTCACATCCTTTACAGTCATACTGAGTAGCCAAAGGCATGTTTGACTGACAAGTAGAAAGGCTCCAAGAATTTATCTACTGTCTTTGCATTTTCTACATTAAATCAGTCAAACACATGAATTGGAAAATTTTCTTCAATAAAATATCTAAAGGGCTCAAACAGTATATTTCCCTGGGGCCTCTTGGTATTTTTAGTCCTGATTTAAAGAAAACAAGGCAAAGATTAAAATGAATATGTCTGATTATTTCCGGTATGTTTTCCTCAACATATCATGATGGATTCTTTCTTCCTGTATAACTCTAATCTTATATGTCTGTCAATATTTTCAAGGTCTTGAAAAAGAGTATTATTAAAAGATTAGAAATTCTCAAGGGAAAAACAAAACCAAGATTCAATACAGTCAACTAAAGTCAGTGTTCTGAAATTCCTGACTTAGAATTATCATGGGCCCAAAAAGCAAAACCAAGCTTGAAACAAAACAAAATAAGCTGCCTTCATGAAATACAAATATAAACAAGCACTGTACTTTATTTTAGTTTACATTATTTGTGTCATTAAAAACTCACACGTGGAAGTCTACGCTGAGGGTCCTTGGGGAGAGGAAAAGAAGCATAAGAATGAGAAGTAGGTCTCTGAGGCCCAGGTGGGGAGGCTGGTCTCAGAACAGGAGCTGCTGAGCCTTCAGCATTTGCAATCCTCATAGGATCCTGCCCGAGATCTATCTTTGTTTCTTTTTCCCCCACAGGAACTGTCTTCTTTTTTTGGAATTGGAGGAGTAGTTATTCTTCCTCCAGCAAATAAGGCAGCTGTATGAACTCTGAGGTTACATTCACCCTTGTATCCTGAGGCTCCCTACCATGCCCAGTGTCTTGTCCACAGTAATTCCTTAATAAAAGTTTGTTTTTAAACTGAAATGAATTCTACTAGTCTCCATCTTTTGTACTTTTGTGCCTGCTTATCACTCCCTCGCCCATCTAGACCATCCTTTCTATCACATACTGTTGCTTTCCATCTTCCTTTTTAAATAAGTTATGAAAAACTTACACATATAAAAATTGTATAAATAATATTACCCACCACCCAGCTGAAGAAATAGCTATTATCAACAATCTAGGTGAAACCTCAGTGTAGTCTTTCCTTAATAATATCTCCCTTCATCCTGGGAGAGATCAACATTATCCTCAACATTATTCTCAAATGAGTTTTTATCACTCCCATTTCACAACTTTACCATTTTTGTATGTATCCTTAAAACATTTTTCTTAGTTTTATATGTTTGTCTTTTATACACACACACATATATATACACACATACACACACTCACATCTTTATATTACTTGTATTTTTCAATAACTAGAATTTTTTCACACAGTATTAGATTTATGAGATTCATTTATCTCCATACATGTAGCTCTGGTTTATTCATCTTCACTGCTATATTCTGTCATATGGATATACCACAAGTTAGTGACCCATTTTCGACTGATAATCTTTTAGG